GGAAAATAAACCTTGTGTTATATGCGAAGGACTACACTCAAGGGCGCCGGCAGAATAATATAAAAGGGGGTGCAACCCTCTAACAAATTACCCCCCCCCCCAAAAAAAAAATAATTAAAATATTCTGTTATTACATTTTGTTTTGTTATTACATATACTTTCATCTGTTCATTTTTTTCGAGATAAATTTCTTCATTGTTAACCAGATATTTAAAAAAAGTACGAATTTCTTGTACTTGCAAATTTTGCCACGAGAAACTGTACTGATGGCGCTGGCATAGCTACTGACTTTGAAACACAAATAACTACAAACAGTAGTTTCGTATAGTAACCAGTTTGTGTACACTTAACATTGGTATTTATTGTGTTGATGAAGTTTTACAGACGTGAGAAGGCAGTTTGTGTTATACACCTTTGTTAAACTAAATAACTAATAGAAAATATAATATTATTTATATTTTATTTAATGAAATTTAAAAATATAGCTTAGATATCTGCCAAGTTTGTGCATGCTCAGCGAGCATAAGAAAAGAATCAAAGAGGACTCAGAATTCATTGAAAAAGTTATAAACAGATTTGGACAGCAAACAAGACGATTACAATTCTTGTTTGATTAAGCAATTTTTTAATTGTTATGCATCATTAATTACTTCTTTCCTTCTTTTTGAATAAAAATATTTTTAATAAAAGTATTTTATAACAATATTGTTTTCCCGTATCTCTTTAATTGTTTTTAAAAAAAGCCAGAGGGGTGCAAGTGCACCCTCTTGCACCCCGCTACACTCAATTTATAAAACTAATTCTTTTTAAAATGAACTAAAATGAAAGATTTAATATCCCCTACGAAAGAAAGTTGTGTTTAAAATGCCTTAATAGGAATCATTTAATAAGCGAAAGCAAATCGAAATATTTATGCTCAACGTGCCATAAAAAAAAATCATTATTCCTTGCTTCATGAGCCGGATTATTTTGATTTAACTGAAGCCACTCTTCCCAACAACATTAGTAATCCTTCTTAAAGTGAAACTGAATCGAAATTTTCAAGAAATAATCAGCCATCGGCAAGTGCGAAGGAAATGATTTGCTTAATTGCTTGGCATCTGCAAATAAAACTGTGATTTTATCGACGATTAATTTACGGATTCGAAATGCAGAAAATAATTATTTTATTGAAGTGCGTGCTTTGATTGATGGTGCTCTATGGTAAATTTTATAAAATCTGATTTTATAAAACTATTAGGTCTCAAAAAGAGAAAAATATTAACTCCAGTTTCTGGTATTAATGGAACAGAACATTTATATCATTTAATCATAAGATTTCTTCTATAATTTCGAAGGAGATTTCTTTTCGGTATTAGAATTTTTAATTGTTCCGAAAATTACAAATATGATACCAACAACGCATATAACTGTTAAAAGACAAAAAATAACTTATTTTTTTGATAGAAATTCATGTTTCTTTTGCATACATTTATTTTATGAAACCTGGAAAAATGGACTTATTATTAGGTTCCGAATGTTTTTATGATTAATTAAATATATGATATATTTTGAAAGGAAAATTCTCCAAGAAGAGCTTTTTTTTCTATTAGGCTTCGTTTTCGTAAACATTGGTATCCTTTCACATCAGACATTGAAAAATGTATAGACAGATCTTACTATAGAATATAGAAGAATACTTACTATAGAATATAGACTTACTATAGAAATAGTGAATCCAGATCAAAGACACTTTCTTAGAATTTAGTGGAAAGAGAGTCTTTATGTGTTCACATTTTATTTATGCACTTAATGCAATGCGTTCATTATATCAAAATTTATTCAGGTTTCTCAGTTTATTTTTCTCACGCACTGTACTTTCATGCTTTCGTACATCTATATATTGTAGGTATATACGTACATTATTTATAGAAACATACATGCTTTATACATGTATATCTATATACTGTTATTGTATGTCCTATCATACATCTGATAATTGGAAGTCATATTGCATTCGTATGCTTTGTGTACTTGTAAACAAGATTAAGTCTAATTATCATTATTTGTAATCATATATTTCGATTATTTAAAATCATAATTACATGTAATCATATTTTTTGATTATTCACAATCATGAATATCTGTAATCGTTTTAAGTGTGATTGTAATTAATCATGATCATAGGTAATCATCAGAGATTACTTGTAATCTTAATTACCTGTAATTGCGATTACAAGTTATCGATTACATAGTAGTAACTATCTGTAATTAATTACAGTTGTAATCGAGTACTGTAAAGAACGTCCAACTCTGGCTTGAAAAATGGAATGAAATGCAATGTCCATTTTCTTGCACGTGTATTCTAATTTATGTCCATTTTTGTAGAGATCTATGTTTATTTTAGTAAACACTCCTTTCGAGGTAAATCCGTTTTTTATAAACAAGCTTTTTGAGCTATGTCAATTTCTGAAAACACGCATTTCGGGTCACATGCATTTTTTGTAAACACGCTTTTCGAGCTATGTCCAGTTTCGCATTTTGAGTTTTGTCCGTTTTTGAAAACACGCATTTTGAGCTTTGTCCATTTTTGTAAGCACCCATTTTAAGCTATGTCAATTTTTTTAAGCGTGCATCTTGAGCTATGTCCAGATTTTAATGCTCACCGACAAACTACTTCTTCTTAAGTTGAAATTAAAAGTATTGAAAAAACAAATAAATGAATAAATAATAAAAGTGCTGCATATAAGCCCTTGTAAGCAAAGAAACATAAATATTTTGTCATGTTTAAAAAAGGTTTCTTTTCACAAGACAATATTCATTGTTGGCACAATTAATTTAATTTCCTGTTACAATAAGAGCACAAAACACCAATATTCATACATTGATCACATATTATCGATAAACAGGTTCTTGGTGAGCCAACAGGCATTTATTGTTAAATAAGTAATTAATTATAAAAGAACAAGCTGATGGAAAATTCCGCTACAATTTCTTCGATTAGAGAAACTTGCATTTCGGGTAATTTACAGTATCTAATATGGAAAATTAGGCAAGTAATATAGTTTTAATTACGGAATAAAGATATGTCAGAAAGACATATTTGAATTTTAATAAATGTTTTTTGTTGGATGTAAAAAAATTTACACTCACCATATCAAACTCACAAGACAGTAATGACATACATTAAATCACGTAATTTTGAGTTACATACACAATAAGCACCACAAATGTAATATATAAATATGAACTATGCCATTAAGTCAAAATGTAATATTTTCCGTTAGAGGGCATAAATCAATAATGTAATCAGATATAGAATATTTGAATGTTAATTAGTGCAACTTTAGATTTAAGGAAATGAATTTTTGAGTTGCATCGAGGTCATTTTTTGCTAGTTGTTCCTTGATTTTGAAACGTTGTTTTGTAAGAAAAATATTTTCATCTTGATATTATAACAGCCAATATCAATGTTTCGCGGAAGATGTTGAAAGGAATTTTATAAGCAATGACTTGAAAAATCATAAACTTTATATCAGAATTATGGTACTGGTATTACGACGTAAGCAAAGAAAAAAAAACGCATCCTTCTGACATTGGCTGTCTGTTCTTGCACTAAGGGAGAACAACACAGAAAAAAGAAAGATCTTTTTAATGAATTTTGAAACGATAAACTATATATACATATATACACGAAAATTAGTTTTTATATAATATTGTGTTTATAGTTTATTCTTTGAACACTCAAAACTTACTGTGCTCATAAGTTTAAAAAAAGTCATTCAAATTACATTCCGTTTTGATTTTTTTTAAACTACGTGAATATGGTTTGCACAGAATGTAAGAGTTTTAAAGTTTTAATAAATAATTTTATTTTCACAAAATGGCCATGTTTGAAAAAAAAAATCATCCAAAAATGACATAAAATAATTTACATTTTCGTGGTATATTCAATACCATTCATCCCAAATAAAAAAATCCTTGCATCCAACGAAAGCTATATTTATTGTGAACATGATGTCAAAATTTAAAGTAAATTGGTTGATATTTGCACTGTTTAGAGATACAGCAAGTAAAGGAAACAGAGTTTTGAGTGAATTACGTTCAAAGTTTTATGATTAGAAATCCATATAAATATATGGAATTTTACAACAAATTATAATGCATCATACCAGATCCATAAGATTTTCTTCTTCATCATTTTCAGCAGTTTCAAGTGTTAGGTTTACCCCTTTTTCTTGTCGATTTTCCCTCCTCTGACACATCATATGTTTTCAGAGTAGGTGTCGAAATTTTGCAGTTATCTTTATTTTGCGCAAATTCTTTGGCTGCTAGGCCTACATGTATTTATAATTGTTCCAAAACTGTCAATAAACTTTTGCCACCTTTATTTGAAATATTACAGCTAAATTAGTTGCAACTATTCATATTGAAAGTACCATTAATTCATTTTTCTTGCATAATTTAAACAAATTATTTCAATTAAATAGTTAAAATGATAGTATTTTACTAAAACTTTTTGATAGGAGTGTTCAAACATTACACCAAATTCACTTGTTCATGTGCCCCGCAGTGGACTTATCGTTAAGACACGGTTCCCAGCAGATTACCGAAGTCAAGCATCACTGGTTGCAGTCGTATGCGGGTAAGTGACCACTTGGATCAGTCTGCACAGGGACCGAGGGTGTGCGGTATTGGTCCTAGTTAAACTGTTCTACCTTAAAGTTCCCGACTGCGCATGCAGGTCGTCGGGTTACCGAAGCGGGGCTGCCATCTCCTCTGAAGAGGATCAAAATTGAAATGTCATGTGTTTGGATCATCCTCAGGGATATTTCCCAAACCGTCGCCAATAGCCCATTGAGTAACTCTAGTGCAACGCAAATGAACAACAACAACACTTGGTCATGTATGTCATAGCGCTTTCTGCGTCGCTTGTTCTATAAGTATATATTGTTGCAACTTTCAAATTTTTACGAAGTTCAATTTATTACCTTGGTATAATAATCTTAAAACGATAAACAATAAAAAAATGCCAAAAAATTTCCTCCGTTTTTCTCAAATTTGACTGTGTTGTTCCCCATCAAGATCCAGTTATAAGAGTGAAAATGCTCTATCAGATAAATTAAAGAACATAAATCGGCATCAAATGTTAATTTTTATGTGAAAATTTATTCTGGTAAGTTAACCAAGTAAATAAGCTTAACATTGGCCTTTACGAAAACACATTCTCTGATAGAAACAAGTAAGATCAAATTTTGATTGTAATAAATAAAAGTTTTTCAGCTCGTATTTGGAATTAAACTAAAAAGAATATCATTTAATGAAATTAGGAGATTCCTTTTGGGTATTTTTATATCTCACTTTGAAGAGCATCTGTCGCTTTACTGTCGATGAAAGATGTGCAGAGTTCTTTTGGTGATGATGGACTGACGGAATGAACTTCTTCTGATATCGTGGTCAACTCAGTACTGATAAACTTTTGAGTTATGATGACCGGTCCAGCTTTCATTGGTGAAGTAGAAGAGGGTGGCAATAGAGCAGTAGTTGAAACATCATCAGTAATCGAACTTGTAACCTGTGGTTTGCGTGGTTGTGGAGCTGCCGCTTCCAGATCACGAGGCTGTAAAAGCAGTTATTTTAATTATTTCATAAAATAAAAGAAATATATGAGCAAATATTGATTAATTTCAACGAAGTGAGGTCCCAAGGGATTGGTTTTCGATTTGATATTGATTTCTTATCCTTCGAACTATAGAAAAGACATTTTAACTATAACAACGAACTATAGAAAAGACATTTTATTTGATTACCAAGAAGATTCAAGTACAAATTCTCTTCAAAACACATTGTTGGCAATGATGAGAGATGCACGAAAAAAAAATTCTTGCAAAAATTACCGTTCTGTATGGTAGAGAAATTTCTGGTAAAAAAGACCCTCTTAATTCCGGTTAATAAATCCGAAATATACGTTAATTAAATCATAAATTTACTAATGTCTCTGCTTATATGGTAACGGTTTGCCGAAAATTATAGTTCTTATTACCACACATTTAACTAAAAGTACAGAACTGAAAAGTAAATTTAACAGAAGAAATGGTTTGTATGTGCTTTAAGGCATCATAAATTTTTATTACATACTATAAAACAATATTTTAGTTAATTTTACGAAATTCATAACTAAAAGCATTTGGGGGAAAATTACATGGATTTTCTGTGTTCCCATAGGGCAGTGTTTCCTAAAGTATGGTACTCGTACCCCCAGGGGTACGGGAACAGTTAATTGGTGGTACGCGTTCTTAAGCGAAATATCTTGCAACAAACGAAAATTTCAAAATTTTTTATTTAAAAGCAAAGCTATCCATGAAAACTTACGATTACGTATTTTTCTGCCGGCTATTTTTCGCGGAGTTAACAGTTAGTAATTAGTGGCGTCAACAGCCAGTTGTGATTTTTTACTTTTGTGCATTTTTTTTTATCACAACAATAACAATATCATCCTTCTCACTGATGCAAATAAACTTATTAACAAAAATTTGTACCAAAAAAAACAACATATTTTTAAAAAATACATTCATTTTTTATTAGTGGTACACAACGATACGAAGCATTTAGAAAGGGTACACAAAAGTCATAAGTTTGGAAAACACTGCCTTAGGGTCATAAACGCGGCAAATTTTGCCATATTCTGGTTGTTTTGATCTTTTCTCCGTAAGGCCACGAATAGACTGGATGTTTTTATTCTCCAAGAAGCTTCTAAATCCTAGAAGCTACCAAGAAGCTTTTACATCCTTAAATAATGAAATCTATCGCAGTAAACAGTTAATCATAGAATTAATTGAGGTGCTAATTCTCTCAGATTTCGAATTAGCTTGTGTATGTCCTATAGATATATGAATGAGTTTAACTCCTAAAATCAAATACCTCAACGGTAAATTGAGCTCCAAATCTTTTAGTCTACAACTTGGTCAACCAAACACAGAAATATATGGAAATAGGTAATCAGTTACAGCATAAGTAGTGATTTAGTGTTAGAGGATCAGTAGCAATAGAGGTCGTAACAAGTGATGAGTAGAAAATGGATCAATAACGGTTAGAATATATTGATTATTTGTTGAAGGTCGTAAAATGTCCATAGATATCAACTCTCCAGGAGGAATTGAAATAAGAGTTGGTTGTAGAGGGTGTGAAGGCAAGTATGATTTTCACCATTAATGCATATATGACAAGAATACTCGAAACTAACAGTATCTGTAAAGATACTCCTCCAGAAGTATCTCTGTCGAAGAAAATCATAAGTCTTAATTGTATTTATAAAATGATCATGAACTTTAAGTAAGTAAGTAGTTTAGATTTCAAAAAGACAGGTATAAATATTATCCTATTTCGATTGTACCCATCCTTATAACAATAAAGTCTATTTCGAGGATCTATATAAAAATTTTGATACCTTTTACTGATTTTTTCAGGATTAAATAATCAATTATTTTTGAAAGGGCTTGATCATTTACCTGTAGTTCCAGAAAGGTATTATTGTTTTCAAGGAATCTATAGACAGTGAATTATGGCATATTAGAAAAGTTTCTGGGCTTGAGAACTAGTATTTGTATGAGAGGGTAATATTTCATTCTTTAAGCTAACAAGTTCTGGGTTTGTTTTTAACATAAAGGCAGGTGGGTTTTTTTTACCGTCCAGACCGAAAATCTTCTGAAATATTTTGTTTTTCCAGCAATGTGAACAAATTTAATTGAGTATTCACTGAAAATCATTAACCAAAGAGTAGTTACATCAGTTGATCTAACTGTATGTTTATATTTAGTTATAGGTTTGGTATTAGTCAACTCTGCAAATTTATGATTGTGCAAATAATGTTTAAATGCTAAACACTTTTATACAAGGCTAAAAGTTCTAACTTAAGAGCTTGGTATCATTTTTCTGATGACTTTAAGCTTTCACTAAAGTAAGAAATAGGCAATAAATTTTTATCAAATTTTTGGAATACAATAGCAGAAATCCCATGGATTGAAGCGTCAGTATTAAGGCAAAAATATTTATCCTAATGAGGAAAGCGTCCAAGAGAATGATTAAAGAAAATTGTTCTTAGTTTTTTGAAAAAATTTGGAGGAGTTTCAGTCCTATCAAATGTTGGTTTTGAAGTGGTTAAATTTATTAACGGTTGAATAAAGGTTGCGTAACAAGGAATTAGATGGCGGTAGTAGCCACAAACACCTACAAATTATTGAAGTTGTTTATATTTTGAAATAGGAAAATAAGTTATTTAACAAGATTTGATTTAATTTGGGTCATATCTAGGGCTTCAATATGGAAACCTAAAGAGGTCTATACTACTCTTGTTGAAATTAAAGTTTTTTTCGGGAGAAAGGGTAATATTGTATTGAGCTAAAACGCAAGAAGCTTAGTCAATTTTTCAATTGTTTCTTCAAAGCTATTTGCTTCAATGACTAAATCACTTTAACTGGAAAATATTCCTGAGATGTGAAGTTTAGTTCATCTAAGAGAGAATTCATGAAAGGTTGAAATGCTGTTTTAAATCCGAAGACTAGTCTTCTAGTTTTAAATGAGACAAAAGGAGTGGTAAATGCAATTATAAGCTATAGATCTCTAAGTAGGCTATTTGATTTGCTAATCCACCCTAAGTAAGTCCTGTGAGCTGAAATATTTAAAGTTACATAGGTTATAGATTGTAGAAAACTTCAGAGGTGGGTAGGCCGAACATTTAATAGCTTTATTGAATAATCTAAGGTCCAATGCAGACCTATGTTTTGGCTTACCATCGGCATTGGTATCCTTTTCTTAAACTAAAACAAGAGGACATGATTATTCACTATTAGATTTTCAGTTATATTAGCTGCTTTCATTTCATTTAACGGTCTTTTAACTTAACTTTCTAATGACTTGGGTATTAGGAAAGGAAATGTTATGACTTAAGGATACATTAGGTATAATTTAATCTCTATGGCCTTAAGTACTTAATATTTAAGAAATTTGCATAATTTCTCAATAATATTAAGTGAATAATATTTTGTTCTGAAGTTTCAAGTTGATATAGAGGAAAATATTCAGGCTTAAGTTTGTTTTTAAGCTTATTTAAAATTTCCTGACAAGCTTGAATTAAATTCACCAGTTCAGAAACTTCTACCTTAGTTGAATCTTTATTTTGAACCCAAGAAGGGTGAAACAATTTACCAACAGTCTGACTTTTGTTTAGACGCACATTTGAGTCAGAAAATTTTTCCATAAAAATATAAAAATTGAATTTGGTAGAGTGTTTACTAAACAACGAAGTTTCAATCTTTTTTTAAACTGATAAAGAGATGGGAATGTTTGAATGAAATCGTTATTAAATTCTGGTTCATAAACCTAATATGTATTATCTTTGATAGGATTTAGTATGTGGCGTAGGGGATTTTATTGTCGACCATGTCAACCTTCATCTATCAAAAGGTATCTCTTGACGGAATCAAGTTAGCATATCTTATACATTAGGGAATTGGTATTTAATATTTTTAGTGGTAGTTACGCAACGTTACTCCCCTTCGAATTTATCTTTCATAGAATTCGATGAGCAAATACCATTAGTTGATTAATGCTGTTTATTTATTTTTATATAATTTTTGCTCAATAAATTTTTTCTTCATTTTTTGCTCATAGCATTTTGCTCATATTTTTTTTCTTCTATTTTTTACAGCATTTCGCTCATTATTTTTCCCTTCATATTGTTTATTGAACGGAAGACTTCATTTTCATCATTGGATGTTTTTTCTTTGAGCAGTATAGTTTTAAGCAAATCAACTGTTTAATGTGGACCATCCATCATTGTTGGCAAGTTCATATCACGTCCGGGTCACCATTGAAGGGGATTTTATTATCGACCATGTCAACCTTCATCTATCAAAAGGTACCTCCTGAGCGAATCAAGTTAACATGTCTTATATGCAAGTGATTGGTATTTAATATTTATAGTGGTAGTTTCGCCACAAGTACGTGTACTTGAACATATACAAATATACTTGATAAGACATTCTTTATAAAAATGATTACATTTTAAACAAAAAGCACATTATTTTTGTCTATTATTATTGGTAAGTTCATATCTGTAACTGTTATTACTTTTGCATCGATTATCATATTTATTATTATTGTGAAAATGCATGCGAGTTTGAAAATTCTTATGATGTTGATGCTTAAAAAATCCGGAATCGGAGTAAAATTTTTTCTTCAATGAACTTTTGTTCTTTAAAGAAGACAATTCTTCTTTCAACGTTTTTATCTCAAGGGAAAGCTCTAACCTATCTGTTGATTGTTTATCAGATTTCAAAATGCCAGTTGAAATTTCAACTTCTTGAAAGAGTTTGACCTTTTTAACAGCTTCATCATAATTAGCAATTTGAGTTTCAAGTTTCTTAGACAAGTTAGTTTTAGACAATGCTGGTTTAACAAGTTTCTATCATTGAAAGCATTATTGCCTACAATATTAGGATAAGCTTACTTCATTTAATTTCCCAATTTATGTGACAAATTTTAAAAAAAAGTTTCTGTTGGCAAAAGTTTTAAACTGTTCAAATTTTCTAAAAAAACTTCGCCCCTTTCCCTTTGAAAAAATTCTCTGAAATCAAAAACAGCAAAATAAAATCAAATTCAATAATAGAAGAAATCAATAATCAGATAAAAAAATAACCAGAAAAATCCTTATTCATGCTAAAGTAAAGAAAAAAAAATTCTTAAATGAATAAAATAATGTCTCACATGTAGATTGAATTGAAATATTTTCACGTCAAATTATCTTATCATTATCACCCCGTATGATCATTTACACTCCTTAAGTCCTACGCAGCGACAAAAAGTGAAGAAAAAGAATATTTTCTTTAAATGCATCGTCAATCACAATCTAAAACACATTGAAGAAGACCGTTCCTAAATCGACACGCATTTCCCAAATAAAATATCTCTTCGAAAAATCACAACATAAGAGGTGGGAAGAGAAAATATCCACTTCCTGTTTTGCATAAATCACTTAATCGATTCAAAACACAAACTGTAATCCGCACTCTAGTTTCTTTCCATCGTATAAATTGTCGATCATTTTATGGTGAGGTAAAACGGATTCCATTTAATTCGTACAATATTTTCACAAAACAGTAAATCGAAGAAGATTCATCGTAAGTTGATTTCTCTATGAGCATTGAACAAGTTCAGGATAAATCTCCATTAATGTATAAAATTAGCGAAGCATTTTCGCTTTCAATTAAAGCAAAACTACTGTTTAAGCACCAGTATATCGTATTAGACTTCGCGATTTTAAGACGAAGACGGGATTTAGCAATAACTACAATATAATATATATATATAAAGTAAATTCCAAATNTCTATCATTATATATATATATATTATTAAGTTTTTATAAAGTATATAACGATTATAAAATATGAAGAACGGTTCTCGCAGTCAATCATGGCGGACACGAGAATTAAAAATATCAAAAACCGCTTGAAATTAAAACGAAACTCAGTGGCGCGACAGTAGGGCCAAGGCCTACGTGCCCATCTCAGTTTTCTTGACCTTGGGCTATGGGGTGCAGGAGCAGATGTGCCGGTCAGGTGGTCAACTGAATGCTGAACCCTCAGTGTTTAGTTCCCAAGCATGCTTGGTACTCATTTATCGAACTGCTGAAGGGATGAAAGGATGAGTCAACCTTGCCCGGCCCGAGGATCGAACCCAGGACCAGTTGCACGGGAGCGCGAAGCTCTACCACTCAGCTACCGGCGAAAGGTGATTATTATAAATGCCTTTTACTCTCAGCTACCGGCTGAAAGTAAAAGGCATTTATAATAATCATCTTTCAATATCGTGTCCCTTAATGTTTAACCTCACTGACCTTTACAGAAAAGTTTGCTATAAGGTGATTCTAGATTTCAGTTGAATTTCTAAATAATAAATAGTGATCGGTAAATGATTCAGATGCAACGGAATATTGCGAGATTACTCACCTGTGCAGCATTGTTCCTTCCCAATCCAAGTTTGTATTCTTGGTACTGAGACAGAACACAAAGAAGAGCATATACCTAATAATAAAAATAAATAAATAAGATTGTCCGTTAAATATTTCAAGAGATAACGTAGTACAACCAGCAATTTTTCATAAGAATGGAAGGTGAATTACTTAATTTCGTCAAAAAGTATTTAAATCTACACTGAGGTAATGATTTTTGGAAAATTTGCAATAAAATATGGATTTATAATAAGTGATAAAAGTAGAAAAGTAGAAGGTGAATTAGTTAATTACGTAAAAAAATATTTAAATCTACACTGAGGTAATGATTTTGAGAAAATATTCAATAAAATATGGATTTATAATAATTGATAAAAGTAGAAGGTGAATTATTTAATTACGCCAAAAATACTTAAATATACACTGAGGTAATGATTTTGGGAAAATTTGCAATAAAATGATTCAAAATAAGTGATAAAGGTAGAAAAGTAGAAGGTGAATTATTTAATTACGTCAAAAAATATTTAAATCTACGTTGAGGTAATGATATTGGGAAAATTTGCAATAAAATATGGATTTATGATAAGAGATAAAAGTAAAGCATTCCCACAACAGCTAGTTGCTGACCAAGGGGTCATGGAGGTTAGCTTCCACAATTTCGTGATGAGGACAATGTGTTCAGAGTTGTGCATCTTTTCCCAGACAAGGTAAATTGTGCATCTTTAGCTCCCAGACAATCTAACCCATTGAACCGAACTTGGATTAATACTTCTTCCTCATACTAATAAAAAGTTAATATTTTCTGTAAAGTAAATGGTTCTTTTTAATAACAAATTGCATTATTAATTTTTCTTTACATTTTACATACTTTTAAATGTATCTTCGATACAAAAAATTCTAATTTTTATTTCATTATTTGGTAAAATCATATTTATTTAATATTATTGGCTTTTATGATTAAGCAATTAAAAGTAGTTTATACGGAAACTAATATTTTACAATCCCTAATAAAATTGGGAAAGCATTCAAAATAAAAATAAGGAGAATATCTTCAGGTACTCTAAAAAAGATTGCTGTATAATGTGAACGTCAGCTGGACATTTTTCGCCAAAAAGGTAACCCTTCTACAAGTTTTTCTTTGAACAATTTTTCGCAGCCTGAACAATGGTCTAGCTATCTCTACCCTAATGTATTCTTCAAAGTTTGGAACAGTTTAAAAACAGAAAAAAACTATACTTCGGCTTAATAAGATCTTGATTTATGTATTCGAAAACTAATATTTTACAATCCATTACAAAATTAGGAAAGCATTCAAAATAAAAATAGAGAGAATATCTTCAGGTCCTCTAAAAAATATTGCTGTATAATGTGTACACCAGCTAGACATTTTTCGCCAAAATAGTAACTCTTCCACAAGTTTATCTTAGAACAATTTTTCAGAGCCTGAACAATAGATTAGCTATCTCTTCTCTAATATGTCCAAGTTTAGAACAGTTTTTCTTAAAAAAATAAAAAACTATACTTCGGCTTGATAGGGTTGATCTTGATAAGGTTAATACAACTATATGTTCAAGTCTATAATTATTTGGCATTTTTAAGAAAAATACAGTTCAGCTTATATAAAGTAATATAAGCTCTATTTGAGTATTGCGTTTTTTGAAATTATCCTATCGCGTATTTAAATCTATTCCCGAAGAGGTTAATATCTTTTTTTGAAAAGAAAATGGTAATTTAATTCTTGAGAGAAATAAAATTTGCTTGGTATGAATACAAAATGCCTTATTGATATTCTGTCAGTTTTGAGCTTTTAAAATAAATGTTTAAAGTCAAAGTAAAAAAATACCATGGTCTTTGTATTCAGATCATAGTTATTTAAAAGAAGAATTTTAAAGCACGTTATGTGTATAAAATTTTATAATTTGTTTTTATTTCTGGTTATAAAGAAAATGGTGAGAAATTTGAAAATAAAAAGCAAAATATTACCAATTATTATTAAGAAACCAATTTTTATATTAATTTATGTAAAGGGTACTTTTGAAAATGCTTATGAAAGTGACAGAACTGATAAAATCTGAAAAAAATTGTATTTTGTCTATGGAGAAGAAAAATTGGTTAAATTACCGTACTTTATAGTAATGATTTAAATAACTACAATTCTGTACAAAAATGTAAAAAAAAATACGGTATTTGAACCATTCATTTGATTATTTTTCCCCTCATATGGTAACCGTTAATCGGAAATTCCGAGTTTTATAATTATAATTCTTTTTACCATAAATTTAGTAAAATATACATAACTAAATAAATGTTTTTTATGCCATACAAGGGTTTAATGATAAAATTTTATCACAGATAATAAAACCATATTTAATTCTTAACTTTGCCAAAATCATTACCAAAGCACTTCGGTACAAAAGTACCAAGCTTCATAGAGCTAGAAACACGGAAGATTTTTTTAGATTCTGGTAGTTTCTATCATAATTTTTTTTCTCAGTGTAGTTAGGCATAATAACAATTTTTTCAAGTAGCCCTTAAATGGATTATTAAATCTAAATCAATAAATGAACATATAGTAGGAGATACAGTAACTACGAAAATTATTTTTTACCTATCTGCAGATTTTTTTGCTCAAATATTTCACCTAAATATTTCACCTGGATAACATTATTTGATTTATTTATAGCAAGGAACAGTAAAATAAGGGACAGCCCTGAGAAATTGTGGAAAAGAAATATTCTTCACATTTAGTAAAAAATTACAGTGAAAATTAACTTTTACAAAGAGGCATCTATTTTACAGAAGTAAAACGGAATGTTTTATGAATATAGTTATATATATTTTATTTGACAACCAGCATAAAAATATTTCACAAAAATGGAAAGTACTGACGGAACATTACTATGCTGTCGTTTTGATTTACATTTTCCCTTTAGCGGTGTTATGTTTTGGAATTATGTATATACTTCATTTCATATATTCTATATATAAAGATTTTTTTCACTCTTCACTATGAGTTATTAATAACAGGATTTTAACGGCATTTTCAAATTTTATGGCAGTTACGCCGCTGGACTCACGTTCGTAAGAATGGGAGCTCAAATCCAGCCGGCCGAACACTCCCCGCGTGGTAAATGGTGACTGGTGCACGTTAAATCTGTCGGGTCGCGAAGTCCTCCACTTTCCCATAACAAATTATACTTCTGGGGGTACTGAGATTGATCGTTCTCTGGTTCAGGTCAAAACTACGCTCTGTGGATGAATGAATGGATGTATGAATAGGTCCGCTCTATAAAAGGGTGTGAAGCATAGGTATGGCAGAAGTAGAATACTTGGCCATAGATACTTGGCCACTGGAAAACAAGAACAATCATTCCCCTCCTCTGCCTTAATGACCGACAACAACAGCATGGCAGTTACGCTATTTAGAGAAGCAGCTTAATTTTTAGAAAATTATTCCAGCTTTAATTATTACTTCTTTATTAAAGATAACGTACAGAATGGACACAAAGCATTTCGATAATATGAAATAAATACTTACATTTTTTCAGAAGCATATGTATTTTGATTAAAGGCTTCGATATCAACTAAAATGTATTAATATTATGAAGACATACCTTTTATTGCTAAACGCTGTCGAAGTCTTTTAGATTTCAATGAAAACTAAATACTTACTAAATATAAAATTAAAGTAAAAATTTCAGTATTTTTATCAGTATAACGAAAAGAAAAAATATTGATTTTGCAAAAAGCATAAAAATAAAATCTTACGTTGACAGCACAAATTAGAACATCAGTGACGAAAACAACTGCAAGAAAAGGTTCTGTGATCTGAAAACAAAATGTTTGTCATTGATACAAATTAGTAATTTCAAATAATAGTATTGATGTTCATAATTAATGAGTATAATAAAATACTTACAGCGTCTCGAATGAGATAAAAAGAAACCATCACATCTATCAATGTTGTCATAGCTACTGCAACTGTCCAAGGCAATAGAAGAAACCTATTGTTCTAATTAGAGATGTATTTCATTAAAATCTATTCAATCATTGCTTAGACAATATATATATATATATATATATTGATATATATATAACGTCGTTGCCGAGTGGAAGGATTAAAACAGGTCTTAGGCCGGGAAGGTCCGGGATAGAAGCAGTCATGAAAATACGTAAAAGAGAGCACGAAAAGTTGCGCTCCTTGGTTATATGTTAGGGAAAACCTTGCAAAGTAAAATTCGTAAAATGTCTTAATTTAGGGAAAGAGGAAAATCTTAGTAGTTGTTATTGGTTTAAGAAATAGATCGAGCGTTTCCCACACAGAGCAAAGGGAAAAATGTCCTGCTTTTAATTAAATTCATACTTGAGCCAAAAATAGATTTAAGAACAGGATGTGGCTTTTAAAAGTGTGAAAAAATATTTCGATTAGAATAGTTAATTAGGATGAAGTTTTGTAACAAAGAAACTAACATAACAAAATCAATAAAAATTCAAGAAATTGTTTTATGAGAATTGTAAAAAAAAATTAACACAAAGGATGCATGAAAAAGTTTGAATTAGTCCAAGAAGATATTTTGAAAACCGCAACATCAGAGATGAAACTTGATAGGAAAAAAATTTTGTTTCTTCGATTCCAAAACACATTATGAAAATCACAACATCAAATGAAAGTTGTTTTTGTTTCTTTTTTAAGAGGAATCATAAATTAACACCGAGAGTGAAGGAGAAATTGAAACTTATTTTTCTTTGAGTTCTGAGTAGGAGGGAGGGAATGTCGAACATCGAATGTTGAAAATTATTTTATTATTTGAGGATTCCAACTGGGTAGCATAAATTTTTTTTTCCAAATTATACATAGTTAAAAAATGCTTTTATTTTGAGTTTTTAGGGTAATCAAAATGTGCTTAAATTTGTTAAAATTATTGCATCATATCTTAAAAAGGATTTATTTCATATATGTGAAGTTTTTTAGTTCGTTTTTAAACATTATGATATGTTATAGGGATCCAAAATATTTTTTTGCCCGGGGGCCCTGCATTGCTATTAAGACGGTCCTGGGTGCGGCTCCCTTTTTCGACTCTTGAGGACGAGATCGACTCTATCAATATCTTTACACGAAGGCGTGTCCTATATTTCCCTCGTAGTTATTAATTGTAATAATTCAATCAATGTTCTATGGTAAGAATGATTTGTCATTGCGTTGAATTTTGTCCAAACGCATACAAATAGATGTCTCTCTGGCATTGCCTATTATTTCGTTACCTAAGAGATTTATTTATTTTAAATTTTTGAAGAAAATAAGTCATATATTTTTGAATGATAATATTCTGCTGGAAAGGAAAAAATCTATCACAGTTAATTTGGCGAATTTCTTTTCTTATTNGATAGATAGATAGATAGATATATAGATAGATAGATAGATAGATAGATAGATAGATAGATTATTTATTTTTAATAAAATACATTAAAAATAGAAATATAATACATGGTATGGTGGCAAAGGATTAACTTTATAAAATAACTATTATAGACAACAAATAATTTATTGTATTAAATAGCTATTAACCATGGGGTAAACAATTAACATAAATAAATTATTCAGAATTATAATAAATAGTTTACTTGATTTAATGACTATTTAAGGAGATAAAAGCTTGATTTAATGAAAATCTATGATTTAAGTTAACAGATCTAAATGGAACTTAGTTATATTACAAACCCGATACATGAGCTGGTTTTCGTGTAACTGTAATGCGAAAACTATTTCAACGCATTCAAAACTTATACGGAGAATAAAGTTCTGGTAAAATTATCGCACTGAAGGGCTATAACATTTCTGGTAAGAAAATTATAATTCTGGTTAATAAAACCAAAATTTACGATGTTTAAATTATTCATTTGGTAATTTTTCTGTTTATATACTTACGGTTTTCTGAAGAGTCTGGTTTTCACAATTATAGTTCTGAATGGCACACATTTAGTAAAAATACAAAACTGACAAGTAAATGTGACCGAATTAATTGTTTTTATGCCATGCTCTAAAGTATCATGATAAAATTACCAAATTTTATCGTATTTTATAAAACCATATTTCATTGTTAATTTTGCCAAAATATTTACCAATTACTGTGCTATCTGATGCTCCGATACACTCAGAAAAGCGGTAAATTTACTATATTCTGGTAGTTTTGAGCGTACAATTTTTTTTCTCGGTGTGAATTATTCCCATAAATTTAATTAACAGGGAACAATTTATTACAATCCTAATTTATTATTACACTAAAAAAGACAATTCGATGAGATGTCGAATTTAATCATCCTGATTACATTTTCGTGAAAATTAATTAATCAGTTCTTAATTAATTTGTCAAATTTAAAAAAAATAAACTAACTAATCAGTTCTTAATTTCAAGTTCACATATATTTGAGACTACTTGATACAAAATATGATACGCATATATTTTATTACGTCGAAAATTTAATTTAAATTTAATTTTCACTTCTAACAAATTGATTAATGCTTATTTGATTTTTTTACAATGTCAAGGTAATCAAAATTTTTACTTTTGCAAGAAAGTCTTTTTAGCCTTCTCAATTAAGTAGGTTGCTAAAATCTATGAGAATCTAGTAAAAGAATCGTCAGTGTAGAGAACTACTCCATTCTTATCATATAAAAGAATTTTTAAATCCTACTTATAGTAAATACAAGTTTGAAAATAAATTATTAGGGTAGAAAATGCTAAAAAAGGGAGGAAATTTGAGAAATGAAAATACAAAAAAAATTTCTATCAAATTCGGCGCAATCACTTAAGATGCTTTAAAATAAGTAAACCTTTTTTTTTAAAAGTCTAACAGATCAGATTTAAAAGCAGTTTTTTTTACGTCATTTATTTACGTAACATTAAAAATTAATTTGAGTCGTTTACTAACGCTTATAAAAGCTTAGTGGAATTCTATAAATCTTGAAACTTTCATTGTGAATTAATGATGATAAAAAATTTAATTTTAATTAACATAAAATAGATGACATGCTTTCTTGTATGCTGGCACGATTTTTCATATTCACAGCTTGTCACAAATTTTTTTTTACAATTTTGAGCAGCAATTTATAGCAATTAAGCGTTTTTTATTTTAAGATAAAAATGCTTACTAGAATTGCTGCCAACTTCTTTATAGTATAAATAATTCTGGATCAAATTATGGTTACGGTATTATATTTTGCAATAAAAATGGATTTTATGGATGGTGCACCCTACTTTAAACCGTAATTTCTACTGGAATGAATGTTATTTTAATGGTTTAAATTAATTTTGAATAAACCTACAGTCCGTGGCCAATTTATTAGACGCACTATAAGATTCTATGTGAAATCTCAATTATCAAGTGATACTACACAGCTTTATTGTTTTTGCGCAACTGAAACCGGTTTGGACTTGTCAACGTTCGTGCATCAATTGATTAAATTGATGGTAAATTCGACGATCTATAATATAAATTCGACGATAGGCTAAATCAGACGATATATTGTATAAATTCGAATATTTGTAATATCAAGCATTATATTAGTATATTATAATAATTAGATCAAATTATTAGAGACAGCGTAGTTTTTTTTAATAATTACATGATTTGCACGAATTTATATGTAATACTTTTATATTTAAACATACAGTAGAGTCCCGATTATCCGAGTTAATGGGGACCGTAACAAACTCGGATAACTCAAAAACTCGGTTAAAGCGAAGAGTATAAAAACGGAAAGAAAAAGAGAAGGTATATATGTAATATATTTAAGAAATACGAAATGTATACGAGTATACCACATACAATTCATATTATAATTAAAAAGCTTACTTAAAAGCATTTAAAAAGCATACTTTAGGAGAATTAAATAGTTTTTACTTAAAAAAAGTCCTTAATCGTTTTTCGGTCTACGTAACTTTGGCGCTTTTCTGTAGTAATATTTCGCCTTTTTTAGGGATAACAGGAAGGCTGGTGTCGCCTCTTTTTGTTGTTCTTTATATTCAATAGTACATTCGATAGCTTTTAGTCCATCTGTATGAGAGATTTTTATATGTTGATTTTAATAATCACTATCTTCATCATCTTCGCTAGATTCATTATCATTATTGACGATATTAACGATGATTTCATCAGACCAAGTTGTTGGATTTTGGTTTTCTGAGTGTTTGGAAGATAAAATTCAGATTTATCTTTCAGCGGTTTTTTTAAAAATAAACTAGAACAAAGAAAATCCTTGAAATATTTGATAGCTCGGTTAAAGCGGAAACTCGGATAACCGGGGCTCGGATAATCGGGACTCTACTGTATATGCAATGGGTTTCTATTCAGGAAATTTTTATATGCTTCTTATTTGTATTAGTTTTTGGCGTATTGCATTATACAATGTTAACCAATTGATACAGGAGCGCAAACCGGTTACAGTTGCGTAAAAACAATAGAGCTGTATAGTATCATCTGATAATTAAGATTTTGCATAGAATCTTATAGTGTTTCTAATAATTTGGTCATCGGTAAATATATAAAAAAAAAACGTATTTGTTTCTCTTTTCTGAGATAATAAATAAGAAAAAAATCTTGCTTCAATGAACCTAAGAGGAATCGTGTTTTTACTCGATAACTTTGCCTAACATGTTGGCCAAGATAAGAGCTGTTGAAAAGAAAAAAATGGTAGTAAACTCACGTGGGATTTTATCAACACTTTTATATTCTTTGAAGTATTTTTTTACGAGCTTTTAGCTTTTTTCTATGTTTAAAAAACAGCTGGGAGACATATAAAGGGGAAAATATATCAGTATTATATGGAAAAATGGTTTTTACTATAGAATAGACTATTAAACAGTTAGTGTAGAGAATCATGATTAGTTTTAAAATATGAAGCGATAGAATGCTAACCATATACAGTTTCTATAATTAAATGTCTTTAATAACGAAAACATACATGCATAAACGTCTATAGAATTCAAAAAAGAAGAAAAGAATGAATGAATAGAGAAAGGAGAATAAATAAGGTCAAAGGGGAAATATGCTATAGAATACAATTAAAGTTATTCAAAAATAAAATAAATAAAACAAAAAAAAATGAAATAAAAAAGGTAAGCAAAAGTTAAAACAGAGAAAAAATGAAATACCAAGTAGAAGATCATAAGTAAGATAATCAAAAAAAAAAAAAAAAATAAGCAGGAAAATTAGTAGTTTAAAAAATAGAACTGAAGGAAACAGTAGAAAAAGAAGAAAAAAGAAATGGTAGATCATCGAAAGCATATGAAAAATAAATAAATAAATAAAATTCGTTAAAAAAAAGTGATTCAAAGTCAAGTATTTTGTACAAGATAATGACAAATGATGTTTTAAATTTGAATTAAACGAATTGAAAGTTGAAGCTGATTCTCAGACTTTTATTTAACCTAAACTAAACTGAGTGGAGACCTACTCTGCCAGTTTTCTGCTAAGCAGATGTTATGTACTCATTTTATCACACAACTGAACCTTTTGGTGCACCTCTTTTTTAAAATCTTTTTAAATTGAAAAAAATACTGCGTTTATTTTTTTAAATTTAGATTTTTTTTGATATTATAATGAAGCCTATTCATTCAGTGTCAAAACAGAGAATTACTTCTGTTTTTTGATACTGAAGTCTGTGTCACGATGTTGAAGAAGGTACTTCACTTCCGAAAGTATCTAAATGATTGTATGTCTCATTGCTTGTGTTTTTTTCATGTTGTTTTAACTTTATGTAAACATAGAACTAAGTAAACTAATCTTTGGATCTTTTATTGTTCTTTACACATGAGAAAAAAGTACGTATATCATCTATAATAAAAAGAAGAGTATGTCTGTGTCTTTTATAACTTCAAAAACGTTTGTTTTATCATTTTGAAATTTGGACAAAGGCTGCAAGGGCCAAATTTATCCCCCGGTTCAAAAATAAGTTTTAAATTTTTGATTAGTTCTTTCAGTAGCGCTGTATGAAAAATGGAATTTTTTCATTGGCTTAGAACTCGCCATTAATAAAAGCGAGACTGCTGACAATTTTTTTCCCTTCAAATATTTCTCATACATCAGTGATATTTGCTAGCTTATAGAAGTCCTTAAAAAAGGAGTTTTGGAACGCAATTTAATATTTAAATATTTTTTATTCGTTATGTCAGATAAACTCTTTGATCAACATGAACATGATAGCATTGGTGGGTAACGATAACAAATTATTTGGTTTGTTATTTTTTATTTTGATATTTTTTCATGTTTCCTTAGTAGACCTTTTCCACATTTGGTGCGGAGATTTTCCCGGTCGCTGGGAGAGGTTTTGATAGTCTCTTTTAAAGGTTATCTTCCACACTAAGTCTATTGAAAAAATTTCGTACCTTCCAAAAATGGTCGAAAATAGAGGTGGTCTTTCCTAAAAGTTTCACTGTATATCTAAGGACAATATGGGTAAATAATTGTATAACTAACCTTATATAGTCCAAGAAGCATAATCATAGAACAAATTATGCATGTACCGGATAAAACAACCATTAGCAGGCAAAATGCTAGCAAAGCTGTAAAGTAAAATACTTATTAAATATGAAATAATAAACCATTTACACATATAATAATAAACCATTTTTTATATAAATAAAAGAATATGCATAGGAAAGATTCTACTAATGTAATATTTAATTTGTAGATTAAATTTGAGATTATTGCCAGTATCGTCAATATACTAAGAACAAATTAAACCCATACGAAATCTATTTATCTAATGCATTCATTATTTTTCATTATTGTGTCTTCATTATTTTTTCTTACTTAATCTCATGATCAAAGATTTTCGAAGTTCATATAAAAATTCAAACATAGATATTCTTTTTTAGCTTGTAAATATTATTTACTAATTAGTAATTTCTGCATTCATTTCAAAAATACTGATTGAAGCCATTAACCTAAAAATATTGAACATGTTCATTCAAATAAATGAAGCAAATTTGTCAATTTAATGAGAGCCGAAAAGCAGTTGTAAACTAGAAGCAATGCATTTGAAGTAATTATTTCTGAAATTAACGACGGAAATTAAAACTGGTATATAAGAGAGCGAGGAATTCAAGCCTTTCTAAGAATTCTAATATTGTTGTGCGAATCGCTGTATAAGTGTGGTAAAAGGGGGATATCAATTTTAGATCTGTCAGCACTTTCCTATGAATTCGTAGCTGCTGTTAATGAAATTATTAAGAATAATAGAAGAGCGCTCTGAATAATCATTTTCTACCACTTAAGCAGCTTCACATTATTTAATTCTAAACGCAGATCACGACTTACATTCACTTTAAATTCCTTCACGTTAATTGGTTAATTATTTACACTGCCATACAATTGAAAATCAACTTAGGTGCTTTACGATAGATTTCCAGAAAAGCCTTAGCTTAACAACTGCCTTCTTTGAATCGCTAATAGTGTTAATGCTAAAATAAAATTTCAGGAAAGTAATAATAATTGACTTTTGAAAAAAAGAAATGCTTAAAAATCTCAATTTTGATCTTTTTTATTGCATGGTGAGGGACACACAACAGGGTTTTTTCACAGACTACTCAAGATATTGATCCTCTAATTTTAAAAATTATTGACGGAAATACAGTTTATTTCAATGTTTTGATGCTCTAGTAAGTAACAAGAAAGTAAGGAGAAAAGTCAATCAAATAGATTTTAAGACATATAACTGTTACCACTCGTATCTTGTTTTTATTCCAATAAAAGAGTAAACGAATTTTGTAAGTAATCCGCTCTGAAAAAAAAACAAGAAAAGAACTGTATAGTGAACAAGAAAGTGAGGAGAAAAATAAAATCGAATGGATTTTAAGAGGTATATTTGTAACCACTCCTTTGTTTTTACTCCTATAAAATAGTAAAAAATTTTGTAAATAGTCCGTTCTGAAAAAAAAAACAGTATGGTGAGCAAGAAAGTGAGGAGAAAAATAAATCAAATAGATTTTAAGATGTATATTTGTTATCACTATCTTGTTTTTATTCCTATAAAATAGTAAACAAATTTGTAAGTAGTTCGTTCTGAAAAACAAAGAAACAGTATGGTGAGAGAGAAAGTGAGCAAAAAATAAATCAAATAGATTTTAAGATGTATATTTGTTACCACTATCTTGTTTTTACTCCTATAAAATCGTTAAAAAATTTTGTAAGTAGTCCATTCTGAGGAAAAAAAAAACAGTATAGTGCACAAGAAAGTGAGGAGAAAAATAAATCAAATAGATTTCAAGATGTATATTTGTTACCACTATCTTGTTTCTATTCCTATAAAATAGTAAACAAATTTGTAAGTAGTTCGTTCTGTAAAACAAAAAAAACAGAATGGTGAGAGAGAAAGTGAGCAAAAAAATAAATCAAATAGATTTTAAGATGTATATTTGTTACCACTCTCTTGTTTTTACTCCTACAAAATCGTTAACAAATGTTGTAAGTAGTCCATTCTGAGGAAAAAAAAACAGTATAGTGCACAAGAAAGTGAGGAGAAAAATAAATCAAATAGATTTTAAGATGTATATTTGTTACCACTATCTTATTTTTATTCCTATAAAATAGTAAACAAATTTGTAAGTAGTTCGTTCTGAAAAGCAAAAAAACAGTATGGTGAGAGAGAAAGGGAGCAAAGAAATAAATCAAATGGATTTTAAGATGTATATTTGTTACCACTCTCTTGTTTTTACTCCTATAAAATCGTTAACAAATTTTGTAAGTAGTCCATTCTGAGGAAAAAAAAACAGTATAGTGCACAAGAAAGTGAGGAGAAAAATAAATCAAATAGATTTCAAGATGTATATTTGTTACCACTATCTTGTTTTTATTTCTATAAAATAGTAAACAAATTTGCAAATAGTTCGTTCTGAAAAACAAAAAAACAGTATGGTGAGAGAGAAAGTGAGCAAAAAAATAAATCAAATAGATTTTAAGATGTATATTTGTTACCACTCTCTTGTTTTTACTCCTATAAAATCGCTAACAAATTTTGTAAGTAGTCCATTCTGAGGAAAAAAAACAGTATAGTGCACAAGAAAGTGAAGAGAAAAATAAATCAAATAGATCTTTAGAGATTACCACTCTCTTGTTTTTACTCCAAAAAATAGTTAACAAATTTTGTAAGTAGTCCGTTCCAAAAAAAAATAGTATGGTGAGCAAGAAAGTGAATAGAAAAATAAATCAAATAGATTTTAAGAGGTATATTTGCTATAATTCTCCTGTTTTTACTCCTAAAGATAGTTAAAAAAATTTTGTAAGTAGTCTGTTCTGAGAAAAAAAAACAGTATGGTGGTATTCAGTTTTACGAGGCTCTAGCTCTTCGCTCACTATTATATTTCTGATGCTATAACGCGTGTTCAATTTTCATTAAGGCAGCCTTTTAATGATACTTAGCATAAAGTAATGATAAGTGTTTAACGATTTTTCCATTGGTTATGGATGGTCCTATCATAAAATATAGAGGAAGTTTAATATAATAATGAAATTTTTAACTTGAAAATTGGAAGGAAATGAGCAGAAAACTACTTGAAAATAACAATGCAAAAACTGTACAATGGGCTTTGTGCATTTTCTGCCTTGATCACAAAATATGCACTCCCAAACATAGACGAACTCCAAAAGGAAGAGCCATGATGGCAACCTTTAGTATTCAAAAATTTATTTTTATTCATTTATTTCCTTTTTATTAATTTAGCATATTTTGATGAACGTTTGTGGTAATTTCATTGTAGTATTTGAACTCAACTTATTTTTAGTCAGTATTTTTCGAAAATGTATCACCGAAAACAAGCTGAAAAACAACATTAAAGCATTTAAGTAACGCCACGTGACCTTGTTAGTCTAAATTAACTTTCACTGCATTATTAATTAAAAATTTGGAGTTGTTTCAATTAATTAGCATTTTGTTTTAAATAATGTTTAAAAATTTTTTTTTTTTGAAATTCGATAGAAAAATAGATTAAAAAAGTCGAAAAAGCATAGTGATTATTTTTTTGTTTATGGCTACTATGGGATACAAGTATTATATATCTGTTACTTGAATTTTAAAATTTGTTTCTTTTGATTTTAAACACACGCATACATAGGCATTTCAAACGAGAACAACGTTGCTAAAATAAAATAGAGAATAAAATGCTTGGCGAAAAATATCATTTCTCTAAAGAAATGTCAATACAGGTTGAAATAATAGTTTCAGAATATATATACACTTACGCGTTATTTGCTTGATTCATCGATTTGCATTTTCTGTAATGTAAATTCATGAAGAACAACATTGCCAGAAGAGATTTAAAAATCGGTTTCCTGCAAACCTCATTTTCATAAATATTTATATAGTAGATACATTAAAATGAATCGCGCGCTGCAGATAGGTAAACTTTTGAGATTGAAGTTAGTGCAAGAATTCTAGCAAAGCAAGACCATATCAATAGAATAAAAACAAATCCACGTCAATCGAATAAAATCTTCGTAATAAGAGTTACGAAAATCGTTTGAAAAGCACCTTGATGGCTGAAAAGTGTCAGGTCATATGTGTGTGAAATTGTTTTGTAAAATTCGTATAAAAACGTCTAGGTATCTTGAAAACAACTACTGATTTGAAAGAATAAAAGAAAATTACGCTCTTTTTCTTGTGTTTAGCTTAGGAAGTCATGCTCATCAAGTTTTATTAAAGATTACACAGCTGGTCAAGAGATGGCACTGCAAACTTTGAAAAAAAAATGAAGGAATGTTTTTTTTAAAAAATAATTATCTTTGCTACAACGAAGTTGTATAGTCTGAGGGCAAAAATAGCAGACACCCAGATTTCAGTTGGAATGGTCTAACATGCAGCAAAAACATTATAGTTACACTTTTCAATCAGCAGCTCCATCGGCTGGTGGTTACTAATTGCGAAAAATAATGAGATTTAAAAGAATCGTACGAAGCAAACCGTATATTTACCGTTGTTTTTTTTCCCTTCCAAATTTAGAAATTGGGAATTTTTATTGATGTTAATAACTTTTTCTTTCACTCAACTTCTCAACTTCTTGATGTCAACTTCTTGAATATATAGAAGTTGGAAAGCTCATTTCTTTTTTAACCTTCCCTTCAACTATGTCTTCTGTCAAAAATAAAGAGGCGATATATAAGAAACTTAACTAAAACAGTTTCTCAATTTTTTTTACAAGCCAACAAATAAGCCGTTTATTTCGAAAGTTTTGCTACTTAACTTTTCTCATAGTAAGTGTGTTACATTTAAAATAATAATAAACTATAGACATTTGTAAATGTTCCTTAGTATTTGCTGCATAGTTACAGTTCAAAGCCACAGTCATTTTAAAATAATGTTAACAATTTGTTTAACAATAGAAACAGTGCTTTGTGGAAGCTATTTTCGGTACTTTTATACGTGATATTTAATAAAAACAAATATAAACCTCAGTGACAATTTACAGAATGACATTAGGAAAAGACTGGGCCTCTTACTGAATAAAATGAGGATTTGCAATAATTTTCCATAAAATGAAATTATCATTAATCGGAGAAAGAAACATTTGTGAAATTACCGTACTTGTTTCGTAATGACATATGGTAACAATTTAACGTAAAATCTGGTTTTCAAAATTATAGTTTTTATTAAATAATCTCAAGAAACTGGAGCTGTAAGATATTGCTTACTTCATTTAAAACTTCATTCTCTTCAAAAATATATAAATTAGAAATAATAGTCAACTTGTTTTAAGCTGTCAAAAACAGGAGCCCATTTTCAAGACTTGCCAGATATGAATAAGAAGAAACAAAAGTGATTTGAATTATAAAACGTAAAGTTGTCAACGAAAAATGGAAAAAGAAAGGTGAGAAACAAAACTAGATCATTTGTGTTTTATCTCATTTGATTAATACGGAAAAATTCACAGGATCTAAAACTTTGTCTGCATAGCAATGTGTTATACTATTTATCCATAAATTTTTTTTATAATTTTTGATCTATTAGTTATATTGACTAGGGAGAGGCTTTATTAGATTTAGTGCAAAGAAATACATCATAACAATATGTCACTTGTCTAGATAGTTAAGTTTCACACTCCGTCATATTGGGTCACAGTTATTGAAAAAATTTGCCCTAAATTATTGCTGTTTTCAGTTATTTAGGAACGGGTCTCCAAGTTCACGAAAATATTATAAAAAAGTTGAATCAGTAGCCATAGGTCAGTGAATTGATTTTGTTTCTGCTATATTTAAGGCTTCTTTTCCAGCAAATTTCATAGCTGTCTAGTTTTGACAGTTAATGGCTTTTTAAGCTCTACAAAAGTTCACTTTCTTCCTAATTTGAGGTCGGAGATGCCAAATATCAATCTAACATGAGTTTATTTTTTTAGATACCGTCATTCGGGGCTACTTTGTGCAAATTCGAATTTGGCATTTTTCATGCGCTGCTATTCAGTATTATGTTTATTTCACGTTAAAAATATGTGGAATTTGAAGATAGAAGTCTCTTCTATTACTACAAACATTTTTTCGAATTTTAAAACAATCTCAGAGTGTGTTTCGTTCATCTAATGTCAACAACTTTCCGAGGACGTCGGATGTCGAAAAGTGTGAGTGGAAGCTTTAGCTGTGAAATGCAAAGCGTTGATAAAACAATTGTCGTAAGTGCAAAATTTTTTATTTATATATTAATAAACAGTTATATCATGTTAGCGTTAAAAAAATTTTAAATTTAATAACAAATAAACGGAAAATGAAGAAAAAAAAATGCACTTTGGGACTACTTTGTGCAAAGTTTCATTCGTTTTTTTTTCCGACAGAAAAATGGTCAGACGATATAAAAAAATACCTGGAACGGGAAACTACCGTGATTACACTTTAGAAAAGCTGCAACAATGTTTGCAAGCAGTTGCTGGTGGTATGTCGATTGCAGAAGCTTCTCGGAAGTACAAAATCCACAGAAATACTATCTCTAATAAAATTCACAAGAAACACGTGAAACTTCCTGGTAAACTATTATTTTTCTTCTACAAAGATTTTTCTAATGAATTAATCAAACGATTTAACACATAAAAATATATTTTATAGGACATCAGGTGATTTTGACAGAAACTGAAGAGCAAGTTCTGTCATGTTCATTCAAGGATGTTATGTTCAAATTTAACAATATTATAAATGTTAATGAATATGTAATAATTATTATTTTTAAAATTTCATCCATTTCAATGTTTAAAAATGTATATGTTTTTTTTTTTAAACTCAAATGTTTTGAAATAAACATTCTTTTTAAGAAAAAATTCTTCAAAAAAAATGGTTTTTTACGCTGAAAATTATTTTCAAACTAATATTTTTACATATCTTGATGTTTATGCCTTTAAAAATGTCAACAATTAACTTTTTTAACAATTTTATATCAATATTTTACTAAAAACATGATTATTGAACTGAATTCCTATCGCTGCACAAAGTAGCCCCATTTGGGGGCTACTTTGTGCAAGGTATGTTTTGACTTATTATTCGTAAATATTACATACAAATAATGCCAATATTGATCAAATTCACTCGTCTGAGTCCAGTTATGAATATAATATCGATAAATTTTACTAAAGTTTGAATTAACATAGTTTTTTTACTTGCCATAGTTCAAAAACTGCGAAATCCTGCACAAAGTAGCCCCGAATGACGGTACTACTTATTGATATGTATTCGCGAAATTACTTAACTTTGGGGTTCATCGTTAGTTCTAGTACATTTTGACCGTCAAAGAGAAAGAAAATAGCCTCTTCTCGAAGATTCTTGAATGACCGTTAACCTTTGTTGTTCAGTTGAAGTATTTATTTTTTTAACAGTTAGTATGAACGTAGTAGAAAATTGCCCGATTTTTTTAAAAAAAAATATGGCTCTTAAAACAATTAAGAGTTAAATAATATTACTTACACGGAGATTTGTTAATTGTTTGTGCATGGACGATCCCAGCAATAAACATTGCTGTGTACAGAATCTGTAACAGAAAAGTGAGTATTAACATTCACTGTAAACATTTCACTTTGTAATTCATGATTATAATATCAAACATGTGAAACACTTAGAAAATATTAATTAACGTGAAGTATAACAAAACAGCAAGAGAATTTCAGTGAATTGTCAGTAAATATCTAGCACTCCAATATCTTTTTAGCCCAGAGTCCCCATTTAAAGATGGTTATCCCATCGATCAATACTTACCCATAGCCTCTAAAAATAAAACATTCAGAAAATACAACTTATAAACGTCCAAGCGGCACAGAAAAATGGGACCTACGACGGCCCATACGGTACCTATATGGGTTTTTAGGGTTCTTATGGGCCCTATAAACCCCATCACTAGTCCACATCCAATCCATGTTGTCAATGTGATGGAATTCCGTGCTCCACTTAAAATTCTTATTGTTTTCTCTTTTCTATCTTTCTTTTTTACTAAATAAACGTATTTCGAGCATATTGACCCAAGATAAAATTCAAATCCTCAACAGAAAGCAATTTATGTTTCTTTCTAAACACATGAAAAATTCACATAGTATTAAATGGATAACCCATGCAGATCTCATGTCGGTTAACCAATATGCTGAATAACCCATGTGGGTTACTCATTAACACCCATCTATTAGTCTTGCAACTGGGCAACTCATAAAATTTTTTATGGGTTGCCCGTTTCAACTCATATGGATATTTTTAACACGGAAGCCCATATAAATTTATATGGGTAGCAGGTCCCCTGAATGTAAACAATAACAACAAACATTGAGAATAAAAGAATTATAAGTTGAGAAAATCATTGACAAAGACTTTTATTTTACCTAATCTGAAAAACCTGCCTAAATTGTAATATAAAAGAATTAAAATCAATATTTAGATTGATATGAACTGAATAGTTATAATATAGCAAAATATACGGATATTTAAGTATTAAGAGTACCGCGTGTTTAAAAAACCCAATTGATATATAATATAAATCATAATTATAGTATGAATAAATGTCTCCAATGACAAAAATGAAACTTGGTTCAGGTTTTCGGCAGTTTTTGTTAGATTTCGATACTATTTTACACTTTTCGATTGTTTTTTGACAGGCCTTGTCAGAAACCAGTTTTTGAACTCAAAAACCATCCCCACAGAGAACACTATTCACATTTCTTCGTTTAGTTTAGGCAATAGGCCTTCCTTGCAGTAATTTATTTTATTATAAAAATAATTTTGATCTCTAGAAAAATTAAACAATTTCGTTATAAAACTATTCTAAATTTTATTTAAATGTCTTTTTATTTTATCTTAATTTATCTATTTTATTTCAGTGTAAAGTTGTGTCTAAGAATATTGTCCCACAGAAATATTTTTCATAGCTTTTCTATTAGATTTAATGTTCCTGAACTTGTTGGTCAATTTAGGGGAAGGAGTCCACCATCGGCACATTGCCTTCACCTTAACAGCATTTTGCAGGTAAAAATATTAATTAATAATTCAGGAAATGATCTATAAATAATATTTCAATTATTAAAATTAATTATTCTAATTAGCTTTAAAATTAGTTCCTAATCTTTGTGCTAGTTATTTTTTTGCAATTCCAAATCTTGTCTATTTCTAGTTCATTTTAATTGTGACAGTCATTTTTCAATAACATAAAACGTGCTAAATAGACATGAAGTTTGAAATAACTAATTAGCTTAATGAGCTGTATCTTTAATCTTTCATAAAAAATCATACCGAATTTACGATTGTATGTAAAAATAGAATTATTGCTCAGTTAATAAAATAAAGCATTATGCAATAATATTAATAAAATTTAACACTGTTTAGTTATTTAAACTGCCGACCTGATGGCCGAGTGGTTAGCGTGCCTCACTGTGGAGCAGCTGGTCGCGGGTTCGAATCCTGCTCAGGGCATGGATGTTTCCTTCTCTCTGTGTTCTTCGTCCTTTCTCCTTTGTGTGTGATTGTGTGACTGTGTCCCGCCCTATAACAGCACCTCCTAGAAGAACGAAGGCCTGAGCCAATACCTCCTAGAATAAGGAAGGCCTCAGCACGGGTTAGCGTAAGTGAAAAATCCGATCCGTTAGTAGTCCAACGAAGTAGACCTGATTGGCTGCCACATTCTTCCATTAGCATTGGCGTCATTCATAGCTTTGATTTTGGCGAAATGGAATTCCGGTGACCATTACAGTCATTCCCTTTGGCGCCGGTTCTTCCACGTGTTGTGTTATTTTTAATTCGTTTTTGCGAAGTTACAAGTTTGATAGCTACTGTCGGATTACCAGCAAAGACGTTGGCTACAAGCACTCTCACGGAAGGATTTTATCATTACTAAGAATTCTCGAGAAAGTTTTTTCACTTATTGTTTATTTCTGTTGAAATCGGGGTTCGTAGATTTAAATCAACGATTTCTTTTTTCAAATAATCATTCATGTAGTTAAATCAAATTATATTAATTTTTTTGGAAAAAAAATATATTAAATTTAGAAGGCATTTTAAATGAGATTGTACAAATTTTTCATGATTTTCATAGTTTTAAAATTAATTTTAAATACATTTTTGTGTGAGAAAGTTTGACAAAATGTGAAAACATAATGCAGGCTATAAAACTCAAACAATATGAAACAGAAAATTTAAATCATTCAAAAAAACCATAAACCTCTGTTGCAACAGTCCTATAAGTGTTTTAATATTGTTTTTCCTAGAGTGATAATTTAAAATTTTAACTGAAATTAAAAGTTTTACTTAAATTTTAATTTGCATCTCTTACTTCATTGGGTATTGTGCATTAGTAGTCTTGAAAAAATCTTACTAATGAAAAAATATTTCGTGAAATCGAAAGTCACTGAAAAAATATTTTCTTGAAAGAAGTTTTTTAATGGAGCCTTTTCTGTTTATATATTTTTTTATTTAAATGCAGAAAATTCTCAAATAGAGATATCGAATTGCTCAATGATGTCGCCATGGGAATTGGCTGCGAGCATTTTCAAATTTGCGAGCATTCGCAAATTTTGCTTCGGCATATTTACTATTTTCTCTAATTTTATTTAGAAAACAATTATGAACGTCTCTCTAATTTCTTATTCGTTTAGAGTAATTAAATTATAAAGCTTCTAAGATTTGGGAACAATACATAAAAGAAAGCCTTTAATGTAATTCAAACATAATATAAAGAAATATTATGACTTAGAAATTGGGGTATTAAATAAATCTTAGGAGAAAAGAATGAAAAGATCGCTCGGAAAGCAGTGTGTCAGAAATTTTGGCGGTTAGCGCGCATAAAGCTCTTGTGATTGATTATAAAAGAAACATTAAGAACTTAGCGCCAATATAAATTACTTCTCCATTAAATAGGTGGGAGACTTACAAAATCTCATCGGTGCTAAGAGGTAAAAAGGTGAAAATTAATTCAAACTGAGAATTACAATAGTAACTTTAAAATAATCATTTTAATATGCTGGTTCTATTTATTGAATTATTATATATATTATCTGTAAAAATTAGACATAAAGTCATGCTTACCCTATCTGTATCTACTTTATTGTTGCTCACATTTTTAAGTTCAACAAATATAAACTAATTAAATAAAGCAAATTTCTTATTTATAATTAATTTTTATTCGTTTTTTAATATTTGTAACAACTGAAACTATATTTCAGTTTCAAAGCACAATTCCCAAAATACTTATTTCATTTTGATTCGGTGTACGACGAGATTGGTTGGTTACTAAATATGTTATTCGGCTTATTATGTCTTCTTTGAAAAATTATGTCTTCCACTTAGATGCGAATTAATTTCTTTATTTTTTTTACAGTTAATAGAAAATTTAAATTAATAATAAGAACAATTATTCGGAAAAATTGCGAACGTTGCAAAAGATGTAATGAGAAATTCTGGCGTTGTACGCATTGGAACAGATAAAAAAGTTTTAAGTAACCCAACAGATCACGTTGCATTTGTAATTGCTGGAACAAAAGAAAACATAAGAGGCGTCAGAATGTTAATGGACAACCATTTGAACCACATGAGATTAAAGTTTTTCGGAAAAAGGTCCTTGTAAAGGATAATCAACTTAGAAGCCAATATGAAAATTTGGAGATCATCGCCAAACTTCCAAAGTAGAAACTTCTCTGTAGATGTACTTATTAGACAAGTAATAATAGTCAAAGAAAAAATTAGGGATGCATGTCAGGCATTTTCTTAGCAAAACGGCAATCTTTTCAAATGTAACTAAAAAAGTCCATCTAGATAATTTTAATTTCAAAACTATAAAAAGTTATTTTAGTTCATTCATATGTATAAACAAAGGGCTAATACCTCAAGTAGACTTCTTAAAACGCATCAGTATTTATCGGTATATATTCCTAAGTTTATTCTTTTAACACGTTGAATGCCATGGGGGTTACCGGTGACCGTCACTGAGTTTGGACGTAGAACCACGGGGGTCACCGGTGACCGGTGAAGCCAAGATTATTAAAAACACATAATTGGAATCAATTTTTAATGCTTTTAATATTTTTATATTATTACCGTTACTAAAATGGTTTGAAGAAATTAATGCAATACACAGAGATGCCAACTTGCTCCGGACAGAAAATACATATTTTCGAGTGGTAGTTTATTAATGTGTAATTCTTGACTTAAAAAATTCAACTCTTATTAGGTTTTTATCCACCACTGTTTCTAAATAATTCGAAAGCTTATATAATTGGCCACTTTGTTATAGTTAAGTCGCGCTATACCGTTCAAAAAGTAAGCAAATTTAGTCAAATATTTACGAATTTTAGTTTATAGGTGTTTACCGTTTTTTAAGTAATTATGACTCGTCCGGAGCAGTTGACATCTCTGAATACTTACTGAGAAAATTATTTTGGCCAGACGGGCAAGCCATTTAAAATTAGCGGGGCATTCAACGTGTTAATTAAAAAAAATGTTCCTAAATATTATGGAAAAGTATAATGAGGCCTGTTATCGTTACTAAAGTATGATGATTTT